AGCTGACAATGGTGTGAGTCCTGGACCTGGAGGCTTGCTTTCTCACTTTCTCTTTCTCTCTGTCTCTCTCTAGTGAGTGCACATGCTCTATAGCAAATTAAATAATAGCAATTAATTAATTCTTGAGAAAAAATTTTTTTCACATGAATTATGGTGGGGGACATTCAGACCATTGCAGATATGAGCAGACAATTCACCAATGAAAATCTACAGATGGCAAGTAGCCACATGAAAAGATGTTCAATATCTTAGCCAAAAAATGTAAATTAAAAACAGAATTAGGGACCAGCAGTTAGCGTAATGGCTGTCACTGGACTCCCATGTAGTTGACCGCAGTTTGAGTCCTGGACCCGGTGGCTTAAAATTCACACCAGGAGCATGTGCATGTGTGCCCAAGATCCCAAGAGAAGAATGGAGAGGGGATTGTGGCTTGGCCATCCCTCCTGGGGGGTGATTTCTCATTTTCTGTCTCTCGTCTCTCTCTCTGTCTGGAGAGCACACATGACCTACCTATAGCAAAACCTGTCTTTAAAAAAAAACAGAATTAAATATCACAATGCACATATCAGAATGTCTAAAATAAAAAAAATAATGTCACTGTCAAATGCTGGCTAGGATGTGGAGAACCTTGGTCTTTTCAAAACTGCTAGTGGCAATGTAAAATGGTACAGTTACTCTGTGATATCTGGAAGTTTGCTTTTGCTTCTCTCTCTCTCCTTTTTTCCTTTCTTTTTAATTTTTTTTTTCTTTTTTAGGTTTTTGCCATAGGACACATCTGTTCACAAACGAGAGTTAGAGAGGGAAAGTGAGAAATCAACCTCCAGGAGGATGACCATGTTGCAATCCTTTCTCCTCCATTCTCATCTTGGAATTTTGGGCACACACGCACACATTCCTGGTGTGTTTTTAAAGCCTCTGGGTCTAGGACTCAAACCGTGGTTGGCCATGTGGGAGTCCTGCACCTTAACCACCACACTACCTGCTGGCCTCACAGTTTCTTAAACAACAAAATATATGACTATTGTATAACCCAGCAATTCAAGGCTTAAGTTCACCCTAAAATATGTTTATGAATGTTTACAGTAGCTGTATTTTTTAAGAGCCAAAAAACTGGAAACAACCCAGATGACTTTCATTGGAAGATGGTAAAATAAAATATGGTACATCCAGGTCATAGTAAGAAAAAGACCGATTACTGATCATACAACAACCTCAAAGCATCCTTAGAATATTATGCTGAGTGAAAAGAAGTCAGTTTCAAAAAGTTATGTACTGGGACCAGCAGTTAGTTTAATGGCTATGTCACTGAACTCCCATGTAGTCGACTGCAGTTCAAGTTCCGGACCCGGTGGCTTAAACTCATGCCAGGCACATGTACGTATGTGCCCAAGATCCCGAGTGGAGAAAGGAGGAGAAGGGACTGCAGCATGGCCATTCCCCTTGGGGGATGATTTCTCACTTTCTGTCTGGCGAGCGCACACGCTCTATAGCAAGAACCTCTCAAAAAAAAGTTACGCACTATATGATTCTAAATCACACTCTAAAAATGTTTGTGTATCCTCCTCCCCAAAGCAATCTGTATATTGAAATCTAACCCTGAGTGAAGGTATTTAGAGGTAGGATCTTGAGGTAGGGGGTTGTGATTAGGTCATGAGGGTGGTGTTCACATGAGTGGGATTCATGTCCTAATAAAAGAGTTCTCTCTGGAACCAGCAGTTGGTATAATGGCTAAGTCGCTGGACTCTCCCATAGCAGACTGTGGTTTGAGTCCCGGACTTGGGGGCTTAAACTTACACCAGGCGCATGTGCGTGCGTGCCCAAGATCCGAAGAGGAGAATGGAGGAGAGGGAATTGCAGCGTGGCCATCCCCCCTGGGGGGTGATTACTCGCTTTCTGTCTCTCTGTCTCTCTCTGTCTTTCTGGTGAGCGCACGCGCCCTATAGCAAAAACCTCTGAAAAAAAAAAAAAAAGAGAGAGAGTTCTCTCATCCCTTCCACCATGTAAGAACACAGCAAAAAATCAGACTCTATGGACCAGGAAGAGGAAATCTGTGGGCACTTTAATCTTGTACTTCCAAGCCTCAAAAACTAGGAGAAACAAATCTCTGTTGTTTATAAGCCAGTCAAGCTAGGATATTCTATTACATCAGCCTGAACTGGCAAAAACATAGGTATCGAATATTTACTGTGTTAGGTCCTTAGGTATGTATTGACTTACATAATCTGTAACAATCCTATCTGGCAGGTTATTGTAATCATTGAAAAGTAAGAAATGAACTATTTAATATTGGACTCCATTAAACATAATATTAACAGAAAAGTACATAATTTTCACTTGAACCTTTATTGTTATATCCCACAACCACACTTGGCACATAAAAGAAGCATAATAGTTGCTTCCTAAACACATAATCACATCTATGCAGGCTCTTTCACTTACAAGCCTCACATATTAAATGTTTATCCTCACTCTACCAAACTGCGCAGTACATACTAAGTGATAATGTTACTCCCTGACTCCAGCTCAATTCCTGATCTTCTGCAACCCCTGATGGATCAAAGAAGATGCAGTGGAAAAAAAATCCTGGGAAACAGAAAACCTGAAAAAAGCTGCTACTTTTGCTAAGACCTTCTATGAACTCTCTCTTTGCTCACCTTGAAACTGAAAGATATGGTCATTATGATTCTAAAGGTTTCCCCACATATCATAGTATTCAGAATACTCACTGTCGCACTGCCTATAAAACCCTCAAGACAAATGTCCATCAATGCAGGGTTGGTTAAATACTAATTACATGGGCCAGTTTTGTAGGCTAGCGGTTAAGAGAGTAGGATCTTACACAGCCAACTGTTGTTCAAATCCTGACAGCTTGAAAAAGATGCAGGGTACATGTGTATGCATTCCCAAAATCCCAACAGGATAGAGAAACGGAGGAGAAGGGATTATGGTGTGACCATGCCCCATCAAGGGGTGCTTTCACCCTTTCTCTCTGTCTCCAGTGAGCAAATGCACCCTATGATAATAAAATAAAATATTAATATTATATACTCATTCACTGGAACACCATGCCACCATCAAAAAAAAAAAAGAGAGAGCGAGAGAGAGACAGACAGGACAAATCAGTGGAGTAGCAGTGGCGTAATGCTCTGTGATGCTGGAAGCACCTGGGAAGGTTCCAGTATCATATCCTGAAGTCTCCCTGTGAATACTGAGTTCATGCACATGTGCCCGTGACCTGGGCTGGCTGGCGATGGATCATGATTCGAAGACCCTATTGGGGGGTACATGTTCTCTATTTCCCTTTTTCTCATGAAAGAAATAAATACTCATAAAAACAGAAGGAGGAGGAGATAGAATCAGATATGCTGACACAGAAAGATGTTGAAGATTCTATAGTAAAAACTTGGGCCAAATGGTGTCAGAGTAATAAAACGTGATGCTGTGCAATGCTGACTGACATGGGAAGGTTCTAGGTTCAAATCCAGAGACTACCCTGAAGGTGCTGGGTGCATGTGCATGTCTGTGACCCAGGGCTGGCTGGGGCTAGGAGTAGTTCATATAGTATCAAGATCTTGTTGGGGGTGCCACATCTCTTTTTTTGTCTGACTCTGTTGCTCTTGCTTATGGAAGATATAAATATAATTAGAGAAATCCATGATCCTTAGAGTTTATATAAAACATTCACATAAAACAATAAATTTATACTAATAGAAATATTAATCATGTTCTCTAGGGACAGATTTTGAATAAGTTATACAGGTAAAGCTCATAACCAGATTAAAAAAATAAAAGTAGCTGCCCAGACCAAATAAGAACAAGTTAATAAAATGAAACACTTGGGTTCTCAACAGTCTTGCATCTAGCTGAGAGGCAGCAGGAAATGGGAAATAACCGTAACCAGTTTTATTTGCAGCTGCCCTTAACCTTCAAACAGGCTCATGTTCAGTGTCCCAGTCTCCTTCCAGACCCTTGTCCTTTTCTGCACTGGGATAGATTCTCTCATGGTATTCTAAGAACTACCTGGAGATTTTTTAGGTTATCTCAAGAAATTTCCACAAAACTCTCTCTGAAAAGTGAAAACAGAATATACCACTTCAGTGTCCCCAAGCATGGCACACTGGTAAAGATCCTCAGTCTATGACTTTGTCAACAGAGCCGACAGCTGTCTCCCCAAAATGCAGAGCTCTAGTTCTCTGTTAGGAACAGGGCCTTCTGCCATGGGCGCTTCCCAGGGCCAGCATGGGCCATCTGTAGAGTCGTACAGGGGCCCTTGCTCAACTACGTCCCACTTTTGATTGAATGTTCTGTTCTAGCTATCTTGAAACATGAACAATGGTCTCTGCCTTTGTATTTGGCACTGGGTTCTTTAAGTCAGCTAGTTTCGGTGTCTTGATACATGATGGGAGTATGGCAAAAGATGAACAGGTCGGCAGGATGAAGATGCAGGTTATGGCCTCAACTCTGTGACTTAGTATCTTATAATCGAGACAAGTCCGTTTCCTCTGGGCATGTGTGTGTACATGTGCATGCACATGCACATGCTATACACAGTTGGGTGTCCCAGCAGACATTACTAATTAATATACTCCAGGCTTAAATAAGCATGGCACGAAATGGTAGTAATCTCAAAATAAGGTAGAGGGGAAACTTACAGGGAACTCTGATAAGTAAGACTGAGGGCAGGGTTGCACAGAAGCAGAGAATGATCCTCGCTGACTATAACGTGTCTTTTCACCTCTAAACAAAATCTATTATGCTCAGAAAAAGCATCAACCACTCAACCCAACCCACTTTTACTAAATGCTAATGATATTACTATTCTAAAATCCTTTCTGGTTTCCCTCAGACATATCGCTTTCGAAACAGATTATGCGAAGTTTAAAAAGTAAAATGGCAGATTGTCAAAGATCAGTACTTCAGTAGAGTCTGTCGAAACTAAAGTATGGTTTTCTTTTCTTTTTAACACATACATAGGAAGTTACCAAGAGCATCTATATTACCTTTTTAACTTTCACACCTTCTTTTGGAGTTTGTTTTGTTGCTAGATTATATCCAATCATCTGTTTAGCCAGCTGTCCCACAACTTTAGGACTAAGAGCAAGAGGGAAAAAAAGGAGAAAAAGAAAATCAATGTCCGTTGAAAATCATTTTAAAATGGAGTCCACATATCCTCTGCCCACACTGCAGAAGGTCCTCCTTTACCCTCAGAATCCCCAGGTCTTCTGCTCATACACTATGTGCCTAGCACCATACTAGAGACTCACTGAGAGCAAAATTCAACTGAAGGAATGAATGAGACATAAGCTGTTTACTGACCCTTACTACTCTCTCCCCTCAAAAAAGTTTCAGTCATAGAAAAGAGATAATGCTGAAATGCATAGCGGATTTAGAACAGAATTCAATAAAGACTTGAGATTGGACAATGTGAAAAGTATTGAACAAGATAAGGAAAACAGTAAGGATCAAAGTAAATAATAAAAGGCATATACAGGAACAAGGAAAAGAAAGTGTTCAGCTCTGAGAGTTATAGGAGATGAAGTTGAGAAGCCAGGCTCAGACAAAGGACAGTTAGGACTGTCAGATGTAAAGTACAATTGACACCATTGGTAATGGGGAGCCACTGCTCGCCAGACAGACAGACAGAGACAGAGAGACAGAGAGTGAGAAATCACCCCCCAGGGGGGATGACCACGCCGCAATCCCTTCTCCTCCATTTTCCTCTTGGGCTCCTGGGCACGCACGCACATGCGCCCGGCATGAGTTTTAAGCCACCGGGTCCAGGACTCGAACCACGGTCAACTACATGGGAGTCCAGCAACATAGCCATTACGCTAACTGCTGGTCCCGGTTCTTGAGCAGGGGAATGAATGACAGTACAGATGAAGTACATCCCTTGCAAGTGGTATCATTTCCAACATTTATGATGAATCATTGGCTGCCTAGGAAAGAACTGTCAACTTTGTTGTTGTTCAGAGGGATTTTTGCTACAGGGTACCTACACTCGCCAAAGAGACAGAGAAAGAGAAAGTGAGAAATCACCTTTTAGGGTGAATGGCCATGCCACAATCCCTTTTCCTCCATTCTTCTCTCGGGATTTTGGGCATGCACACAAACACGCCCAGCATGAGTTTCAAGCCTCTAGATTTGAGATCCAAATGGCAGTGAGCCTTGTGAGAGTCTAGCATCTCAACTGATATGCCACCTTCTGGTCCCAGGACCGTCAACATTTATCAGTTAATTAAAAAATCCTTCTATGACACCAGAAACAAAACTAGGGCACTCCTATACCTCTACTTACTATTCCCTGTTCCTAACCCCATCTCAGCTCTCTTTCTCAGTGTTTCTTTCAATCTTGAGCAAGACTGTCCATACTGGCTTGGCCCAAAAACAAAGAATGAAAACCCACAGACATACTCTTTTGTTAAATGAACACCTCCTTTTAAACCGCTATTGAAGACACCTTTGCCTCGTCCTCCAGCTAAGATCTGGGCTTTTAAAACAATTTCTTTAGCATCTGAAAAAGAAAAATACAGAGTTGGTAGTTAATTTAAATGATCTTTTTCTATCTTTCTTTTCTTTTTTTTTGTTTTTTAAGTAACAAGGAAAGCAATAATGACATACAGCTTCCTAGGGACTAGAAAAATGCTCTCTCAAACCAACTTTCAAAATAAAAGCAATAAAGGGCTTCAAAAAACATCAATGTGCCTAAATAAAAAGCATGTTTACCCAGGACAGTCAAATGCTTCTTACAAATTTAATCAGTGAATACTAGATCATCCCCAGGGAAAGCAAAGCATGTGTTCCCTTGCTCTTAAGAGTGTGTCAGAAGATGCTAAATAAACCCTAGACGGAGGTATTAATTTTACTGTGTAATGACACTCCCATGTGGCAGAGACACCAATCTGCCAGTCAGAGGAGGTGACTATCTGTCAGCTATTGGAAATGTCAAAGGGAAGACTGGATTACAAAGGGAAAAGGTTGGAACACTAGACACAAAGAACATATTTAATAACTGTATTCTAGGAAAGCAATAGTTTTCTGAACAATTCTATATATTGTAGGGCTAGTCAAAGGAGGAGGAAAAAATTAAACTAAAAACAAGCAATATTTTCAAAACATAAGCAAAGTAACAAGATATCCTGGGGGAAAGTGTCTGTGGAATTTTTGTTTCTCCGTATCCTCAAAAGAAAGAGAAAATTGTCTCTTCTTAACCTTTTAGAACAGAGTTATTAACTTAAATATCTTTATGGGCTTGGCAAGAAAGCTAGGTGTTTGACAATATCCCAGGGATAACTGGGCTTTTAACAAACAAAACAGGTCCCCCCTCCCCAATCACCACCACCAAAAAAAAAAAGACAACAAAAAAACAGCCTTCAAATCAAATCTGTTTAATAAAACAAACAGCACACATGTTCAGGTCACAGCTGGCATCCTGTGTGTAAAATCAAAGAAAGAAATCAGACAATTCTTATCTGGCTGCATACACGACGTGCAGACCTAGGTTTTAACTGGGCCTCACCCCTCAGCCAGCTGTGTGACATTAGGTTAGTTACTTAATGTTTCTGAGTCATGGTTTCCTCAGTTGTGAAATGATGATGAGGGTTATTTCATTCATTACATGAGATAATACATCTAAATGCTTTAATCCCAGAGCCTGAAAAATCATATAATTAAAGACTTACTGTCTTGATTACCTAGTTAATTTAATACCTTTGTTTGTTATACAGAATCAAAAGGATCACTTTGGAGATTATAAAAGAAACTAATATTTGTGGGTATCTGTCACCATTCATGTAAGGCCAAAAACAAACAAACAAAAAAAACAAAAACAAAACCAAACTCCATTTCAGCTGTAACTCTCATTATTACTATAGTCAAACAGGAAAAGCCTCGAAGGTTTTATCATGAAGGCAATGGGGAGCTACAGAAGGATTTTATACTATGAAGGCATCGGGCAGCCTCAGGCTGGTATAGCACCAAGGCTTGTTCATTGTCATTGGCTGGCCTTCCTTCGACCTATATTTGATTATATTCAGAGTCAGAGCTGACTTCCTCTCAGGAGCTCCTTCTTAGAATGCTTCCCTAACACCCTCTGGCCATAGTTCCGGCTCTGTATGTGAAACATCTCAGCATCAGTCAAACCTCTTACAATAAACTGGTTCTCATCAAGCTGAGAAGAAGACAAACTATGGTTACCACCCATTATCAGAAACTACGCAGGAAAAGAACCACCTAAAACGAATGTGTTCCATGTTTACTGTGCTCCACGTGAGAGTATCAGAAAGAGCAGGGATACTGGAGCTACAGAGACCCTGGTTAGAATGTCTAACTCCACCCATCCCTTTCCTTGTGGAGAAGAGGAGACAGATTCAGAAAGATAAAAATAGCCTGCCTGTCTATAAAGTGGTCATGTGAAAGGAATCTTTATGTTTCAGTGATGTAAAGAATAGATGGGATAAAGTAGATAAAGTGCTTTTCTCAATGCCGGCCTATGGTGAAAAAAGAAAAAAAAAAACAGTAAAAATATGAGTTATTATCATTAGAATTATTTCTAGCAATTACTAAAAAACAATTTCTTATTTGACTTTGTTTCATTATTTTTAATTTTTACTTTGCTGGATGGTGTAGGTGCTCACTGGAGAGAAACAGAGAGAGAGGAGAGTGAGCAGCCCCCTTGGGGATGGTCACACCACAATCTCTCCTCCATTTCTCCCTCCTTTGGGATGTTGGGCATGCACACTTACACATCTGGTGTGTTTCTCAAGCCAGCGTGTCTGAGACTCACACTGTGTAGTTGGCCATCTGGGATCCAGCCATTTTAACCCACATGCCATCGGCTGGCCCCTATTTGTCTTTCAAAGACACATTCTAGAAAAAAAAAATTTGCTACCTATTCAACTGTTTAATTATCATCACTTCAAATTCTTCTTAAAAGGATAACCAGCATTCCACTGCTGTTACCAATTTTCATATCCTTGCCTTCTAGAAGAAAGTGTTGCTTTACCTTCCAGGCTCTCTAGTAGCAAAACTTGAGAGCCAGACAGAATACCTAATCAGGCATTGATAACTGGCACTAGGTATGCCTGATTAGATCAACTTTAGTCACTAACAAACAACACACAGAAACAGTATTATCTTCAATAGTGTTGTCAATTGCATGTCACCATTTGACCTTATGTCAAAAAGACCCCACGCTACCCAGGTGGCAGATCCAGCAACTACTTTGAAGCCTGTGAAGCTGTACATTGGAACAAACAGAAGAACAAAAACACTATCCAATCTATGTACATCTTCTGCAACTTATTCCCCAGGTCAAAGTGAATTCACTAAAATCTTCTCTTCTGGTTAGACCTCAAGTGCTAAATCAATAAAGCAGGTCAGCACCCAAAAATAAAGTGCATTTTTCTCATCTTGAGGAAAGCCCTGATGAAGTAATTTAATTCACTGGTTATTTATTCAAGGTGCTGAAAATTAAGTAAAGCAGCCAAATACTATTCAGCAGTAACTAATCTCTTCATTCTATATTTATCAAGTTGGTTCACACTTACTTAATTTCAATTGTTCCCATTCAATTTAAAGACCTGATTTCTCCAAAAACTCACACAGCTTTTTAAATATTATCTCCTGTCCTTATTCCCAACAAAATTACAAAAGAATTCCTATACATGAAATTCAATTTTTGTCTGAATAAAAGGCTAAAACCCTATTTCAGGATGATAAGTTAAAAGGAGAGAGGAAAATAAAAATTTACTCGAATAGAGTTTGTATAGAAGTAGATTGTGCCTGTGCACTGATATCCATACTATTAGATTCTGAGCTGGTGAACTCAGGCCTCTACATCTCCAAAGACCTCATTCTTAACTGTTGTTTTTACATGCAGTGGCCTAAACATGCAATACATACACTATGTTGTGTCACTTTCTTGATGAGTTTCTGGTAATAAACAGAATTGATGGCTAGGCATCTACTCATTTGATATAGGAGGCAGTTTAAATATTTTAGGTGAAAAAATACTGTAAAATCTATTTGACATGGGCTGACTCTATGGCCTGGGAGATTTAGTAACTGGATCCTACAGAGCCTAAGGCACAGTTCAAGTCCTAGACCCAGTGGTTTGAGAGACATGCTAGGCACATATATATTGGTGCCTAAAATCCCAACAGGAAGGTGAGCAGAGAAGAGACTGCTGCATGACTGTTCCCCGTAAGGGGTGTTTTCTTCTCTCCCTCTGTTTCTTTGTCTTTCTCCAGCAAGCACACACATCCTCTAGCAAAACAAACTAAGAAGCAAACAAGCATATTTATAAATATGTAAGACCCAAATACTCTATCACTTTAAAGAACAATATTTAGAGCCACTTAAAAAGCCTAAACAAAACCCTACCCCATGAACATATTTTACTCTTAGCTTAGCTGCATTAAAACAATACTTTTGCAAGTATTTTCTGCTCATTCTCTCTCTCTCTTTTTTAATTTGCTATAGAGCATGTGCGCTCACTGACAGAAATAGAGAGTGAGAGAGAGGAGAGAAAGTGAGAATGCATGCCCCCCATGAAGGAATGGTCACGCTGCAATACCTTCTTCTCCATTCTCCTTTCATAATTTTGGACACACATGTACATATGTTTCATGTGTTTATCAAGCTGCTGGGTCCAGGACTCAACTGCACTGTCTGACATGTGGGATCCAGTCACCTTAACCACCACACCACCAATTGGCCCCTTCTCATTCTTTATCACACAGTTTTATACTGATTTTTACAGTTCCCTCAATAGTCCCATGCTGGATAATAAATATTCTTGGAAGCAGTGCTAAATCTAAAAGAAAAAAATAGTTGAAATTCATTAAGGAAGCATAGCAAGAGAGTCATGACATTAGTGGGACACAGAAATGGTTTATTACCTGTTGATGATAACATGCATAGTATTCTCAACTGGACTGGTCTAGGAAGTATTTCATGTTGAGTAAATTCTTTTTACAAGCAAAATGATATATAGTGATAGAATGTTTTTTAAAAATGAGAATAATAATAATAACAATAATCTGGGAAAAAATGATGAAAAGCAATTTGGTGATGATGCGGATAGTAATGTCCTTGTCTTGACTGATATGCATTGTATTCCTTCTGGAAAAAGAATGTAAAACACTAAAGATATATGTGATTCAATGTAATATAAACAAGATTACAATAATAAAATAAAATAAAAATTCATTATGAAAAGCAACACCTACATAGAATAAATGAGAAATGTTTTTAATTAGGTAAGTTTTGTAAAAGGGGTTCACTTTGTGTTTTAGAGATAGCATTCTGAAAACATATTTATACAAAGTAAGATTCATGAAACAGTTTGGAATCCTAATAGGGACCACAGTGAATATCTGAAAGTGTTAATATCAATAAGAATAAATAATTTTCAACTTTTTTTTTGGGGGGGGGATGGCCTAGAGGGTGCATGCATTCACTAGAGAGAAAGAGAAAAGGGAGAAAAACATCTTGCATGGGGAATGGTCATGC